AAGTTGAATCCAAACAGTAAAATCTATACAATCGGTCAGTACCAAACAGAATTAGAAGAATTAGAAGATGATGAAATGAGAGTAAAGGATACAGAAGGCACCGCGTATTATGTATTGAATGTGTCAGATAAAAAAGTATTGAGCAACGGTTTTACATACATCAAAGAGCTTTTGCTACAATACCATAATTTCAAAATGTATGAAACATATAAAACATTAACTGATAGTAATATTAAAGTGTATAGTGTTAAAACGGACAGTTTTACTATCCACAAAGACGATTTGGATAAAGTTTATGGATATACTTATTTGAGAAAATGGCGGGAAGGACTGCTGAAATTTGGTGATGAGATAGGCGACTGGAGACTTGAAGAGAAGCACACTATAACATTACCAACCCAACCATATAAGTATAAGTTTAATGAATTACCTGAAATACCGAAGATTAAGAATATTAATATTTCTATTGAAGATGAATGGAATACTGAAAGCATTTGTAAAAAAGTTATTAAACAAAATCCAGTAATTATTAGGGGTAAATTTCCGGGCACAGGCAAGAGTTATATAGGTCAGCATTTCCAAAAGATGAATAAGAATGTATTATTTGTAGTGCCTACCAACCGACAACTACAAGAAATACAAGATAAAGGAATAGAAGCAACAACATATAACAAGTTTTTTAGCATTGCCGTTCATGAAGATGTCGGAGAGAAATTACCAATTTATGATTATTCGCCTTATGATGTAATAGTGTTTGATGAGATTTATATGTTGAATTTATACACTTTGAATAAAGTTTGGCAGTTTATGGAAAACAACACTCATATTATCAGAATTGCTACTGGCGACGTGAAACAATTAGAAGGGGTGGAAACCATGACAAACTGCCAAGACCCCGCAACATACATTGACAACTGTATAGACACAATGTTTAAATATAATATTTTCTTAAAAATATGTAAGAGAGTAGGAGCAAAGGACAGCGTAGAAGGAGAAAGAAACAGAAAAATATTAAATGATATGTATAATGACTGGTGGGAAAACAACATTCCACGCAAAGAGTTTATACTTAAATACAGTTATTTAACCGATGACATCATGGCATCAGAGCATAATATCGCTTATACCAATATGAGATGCGAAAATGTAGCAAATGAGATTAGAGACAGATTAAACATAAGTGAGAAATATGTAGTGGGTGATATTTTGGTTGCCAGAACATGGATTAAACAACCAAGGGTTAATATCAATTTGAGATACAGGATTACAAAGATAGAAGATGATGAATTAGGGAAGCAAATAACATTACAGAATATAGCAAGACAAGAAGATGAGTTTATGTTGTCTGAACCTATTGTAGATAAAAACTTCATCTATCCTTACTGTGCTACTTGTCATTCAAGCCAGGGGTCAAGCGTAAAGGAAAGCATAACTATTCACGAATGGGACTTACCCATAACCAGCAGAGAGTGGATATGGACGGCATTAACTCGCTGTGTTGATTTTAGGAAAGTTAAATTTTATTGTAATCCAGACTTTGATAAGCAAATGGATAAACATATGATAATGAGATATGTTAAAAACAAAGTAGAAAATTATAAGATACAAGACAGGAGGGCAAAGAGAGAGATAACCGAAGAAGAATACATAAGCGCTGAATGGTGTTTATCACAGTTTCGCGCCAGATGCCAAAAGTGTAATACTTCATTTAACTTTGAAACGAAGAAAGGTAAATTATGTAGCAACTTTACTTGTCAGCGCCTTGATAATTCAATCGCTCACCATATAGATAATTCAACTTCATTCTGTGTATATTGTAATGTTTCAGCTCATTAAGATTTTAATATGTTTTATATTAAAATCTTAGTTTTAGACTAAAAAAGGTTTAAAGAAATAATACCTATATATAGTAGAGAGTAATGAAGGATCAAGAAGTAAATAATTATCAATAAGAAATGCTATGACTGTTGCCATTTCAACAAGGAGAATATGGAATTATACAAATTAAATTTACCTAATGGAATAGTAAATAATATAATTGAGTATGCTTTGGGTGAAGAAGATGAATGTAAAATTTGTCAGGAATGGAGAGATAATCAAGAATTAATCAGATGTCATTTAAATCTGAAAAGAAGACATAATAGAAATGTTGAAGACGACATTATAATATTTTTAACTGTGTATGAAAGACCACCTTATAGTTATGTTAGAATATTTCTCAAAATCAGTAAGAAAAAGTATGAACTGATTAACCACATTTTATGGATATTGTTACATCGTAGAAGAGAAGGGTGTGATGTAAAAGAAGACATTAAATCAGAAATTGAAAGCAAAAAGTTTAATGTGAAAAATACCGTGAGAGATATCAATATTATTTTTGAACTGATGCATGACAGACGTAAGATATATACACAATTTAATAATCATCAATTAACTTATTATCCTGAATTTAAATTATAAATAATATTATCAATATAATAAATCTTAATTTATTATATGGATAAACAAAAAATAATTAGTGATATTTACTATGACAAAAGCGGATACGGTAGTAAAGCACGTTGAACAAGGTTTAAAGAAATGGTATGTTTAGGTAATTAGAGGTATGAATAGGTATGAAAAGGGACAGATTTACAAAATAACAGATGTTGGATATAACAAGTGCTATATAGGTAGCACTACAGAAAGTTTAAGCAAACGAATGGCAAGACATAGAAAACATTACAAAGTCTTTAAAGCAGGAAAAAGTAATAATATTTCAGTGTATAGTATCTTTGATGAATATGGAGTGGATAACTGCAAGATTGAATGGATTGAAGATTACCCTTGTAATTCTAGAAAAGAATTAGACAGAAGAGAAGGACAGCATCAACAAGAAAATGATTGCGTAAATAAACATATAGCAGGGAGAACCATGTCAGAATGGAAACAAGGCAAGGAAGAACATTACAGACAGAAGTCAAAAGCAAACTACTATGAAAATCAAGAAAGCAGACTGGAACAAAAACGAGAGAAAGCACAATGTCCCTGTGGGTCTTGTGTTAGAAAGCACGAAATGAAACGACATGAAAGAACAAAGAAACATCAAGATTGGTTGCAACAACAGGAAGAGAAATAAATGATATAATATATTATTATATCATGTATTGTATAATGAGCACAAAGCAAGAGATAATTGCAAACATATATTATGATAAAAGCGGGTTTGGTTCAAAACAAACAACTTTGAAAGATGCCAGACAGAAAGATAAAACTATTACTGCGGACGATGTTAATGAGTTCTTTAAAAAGAATGTTGAGGAAAAAAGGAAAATGCGAGGGCAGAATAGTTTTGTTGCTCCTCATGCCTTCTGGGAATTTCAGTTAGATTTGTTTTTTATTTCAAAAAATGATTTGGAAAATCAAAAGTTTAGAATTGGATTAATATTAATTGATATATTTAGTAAATATGCTACTGTAATACCTATTGCAAGTAAGCAACCGCCAGATGTATTAGCAGGAATTATGGAAGGCATTAAGAAAATGGGCGGAAAAGCCAAAATGATATACAGCGACGAAGAAGGCAGTTTATTTAGTTCTACCATTACAGATTATCTTGATGAGGAAAAAATTGAATTACACACCACGAGAGGACACCCTGCTTTTGGAGAAAGATTTATTAGAACCTACAAAGATATGCTTTTTAAAAGAGTTGATGCGGATGAAAAGAAAGGTAAAAACAATATACAATGGATAGATTACAATTTAGAAATATTATTGACATATAATAATAAATTAGTAAGTTCCGTTACGAAAATGACACCATTGGAAGCAAGGAAAAATAAAAATGAGTTTGAGGTGAAACTGAATATATCAATGAATGCCAGAAAAACCCGTGTGTATCCTGATTTAGATGTAGGGGACAAAGTCAAGATAATGAGAAAGAAAGCGATTAGCGAGAAAGAGAGAACCAGTCATTGGTTAAGGACAGTCCATACAATAACCAAAATAGAAACTAAGTTAGGGCAGAAATATTATTCTGTTAGTGATTTTCCTAAACCTCTATTACGACATGAAATGTTAAAATTATAGTTTTAGACTAATAAGATAAAATTATTAGATTTATTCAATATATTTGTACTTGTTCTTTGCATGGTCGGTTGTTTGGTTTTTTGTGTGGTTTGTTGTTTGGTGGGTTTTTTCTATGAGGGTCTTACCCCAGAGCAAAAATATTATTTGTGTCTGTCTAAAACTATTTAAAGGGATGTGGGGTATTCTATATTAGAGGTTATGGAAAGGAAATATTGCTCGGGATGTCGGAGAGATAGAAATGTGGATTGTTTCATTGATAATTATAAGAATTGTGAAAGATGCCGTGAGAAAGGAAAAAGGAGGAGCAAGGTTAATTATCATTGTGATGTGTGTAATTGTGATATTAGGAAAATGGGTAAAGCGAGACACGAATTAACTTACAGGCACGAGGAAAATTTAAGAAAGAATGAGGTTAAGGAAAATTGAGTTGGTTTAAGTTATTTATCAAAAATGAATAACTTAAAACATTTGGTGAGTGGATTGATTTTTACAGGATTTATGCCAAACATATTTGGTTGGTTTTGGGCGGTGCTTTTTAAATGGCGTGAAAACCATAGGGTGGAGTATGGACAATTTTGCTTGTTGGTAAGCTCCTTCTTGCTCTGGCACCACCCCGTGGTAAAAACATCGAAGAACGAATAAAGAATTATTCTTGGCACCTTGGACAGTTCCGTGGCTTCTAATAAATGTGCATGCTTTTGTTTGTCTATGCCGTTTAGAGCGTTGGTAAGGCTCAGAACCCCGCGCCGGCACAGAAAGATTTGCCAATGTCAGCCCGGCTTTACTGGCTTGTGTCCCCAACGATTGCAGCAGTGCACAAGCAGCTTGTCCATATTGATTTGGAAGCGAAGCCCCCAATGATTCAAGCAGGAAGTTTATCCCACAACGGCACTAGTTCGCATGATTGAACACAGCTTGGTGATGCAGCCATGCTGGAAGCATCACAGTGTTTGCAGGATGTCGCTGGCTCAGGGCACGAGGAGCTGTAGCCGTGCTTCCTATTGTTCTTGCAAGCAAGCGTTGAATGTTCATTGCAAAAAGGAGCTACAGCATGACACAATATTTGTTACTCAAGACTCAAGGGTATGATTGATTATAACTGTTTTGTTAGCAGTCCTTGTTGTCTTCAAGCTCGGAGCATACATTTGTTTCATTTTGTTTCATTCAGCCAGCATTCCAGGTCCGTGGCGGCTGGCACGAGGCCGGGCAGCCATTCCATTTGGATTGTTTGCGGTTGGTTCGGGCTCTGCCAAAAATATTCGTGTGAGTTGTGAGAGGGCCTAGTCAATCGACAACATGGGCGCCCAAACATCAGCATCGGCACCTCAGCTGGAGCCAATGACGCACCGCACGGCATGCCAACCTGGGGCTTTGGGCATGAGCTGTCTTCGTCCCCTTGATTGCGGCACGTTTATGCGCCAACAAATGCGGCAAGAATTGACGGACATGATGAATTCCTAGCGTGTTCAAGCACAATTCCCCGCGCCCCAATGACACAAAACAGCCAAAATGTTTGAACCTCCAAATTTGATGCACCAAAATGCGAATCAGCAGCATCAGCAGGAGTGAGTTGATCAAGGAAGGCATTGATTGTGTTTGTTCCACTTGCGCAGAATGCACCATTCATGCAGCTGTCCCCCATGCGTGCCCTGTTTGCAGCAAACCTGGGGAACAACGGCGCGCAAAAGCGCTGGCCGCGTGTTCTTGGCTCAAGCACAAGCGAACTCTCTACTTGTTCGCGGCCGGACACGGGAACCTCATATCCGGTCTTTATAATGCTTGTCTTCCGAGGCGCGGCATGCATACTTCGTGATCAAGCATGTAGCCGCGCTCTCACGTGTATTCTTGCCATGTTTGCGTGTGCTAGCTGATTTTCTTGTGGTTTCGTCTGGATATGTTTGTCTAGTTTGTGCCAGCTTGTTTTGCATTGCTTTGTTTTGCCTTGCTTTGCCTGGTTTGCTGCTTGCCCTTGCTTGCTTGCCTGCCTGCCTGCCTGCTTGCTTGCTTCGCTTCCTTGCCTTGCCTTGCCTGCCTGCGCTGCCTGCCTGCCTGCCTGCCTGCTTGCCTGCCTGCCTGCCTGCCTGCCTGCCTGCCTGCCTGCCTGCCTGCCTGCTTTGCTTGCATGTGGTGTTTTTCATTTGTTGTGTTTTTTTGTTATTGCGTTTGTTTGTTGGGTTCTTTGTTGCTTTGTTAGTTTATGTTCGTTTGTTGCTTCTGTCGCTTGAGTGGTTTGTGGGTGAAGTGGGTAGTGTGAGTGTAGGCCTATTGGAGTATTGCATTAAGAGTTCATCAACATGAAACGACCTGGGCCTAAAGCGTTTCAGTCAAGACATGCTCCGCGCGAGCCGCGCAGTGCGGAACGGCAGGCATGGTGGTTTTCCTGGCCCTCTCCGCCGCGGCCAGCAGCGAGTGCCAGGAGGAGGAGGTGGAATCCATGCAGGCAGAGTCTGGGAAAGGACGGGCGATGGGGCACGCCACTACTGGTGTTGTTTATAAGCCGTTTGGCAACAAAGCCCTTCGAGCAGAGTCTTCACAACTTAGTTCAAAGACTTTCAGAGGTATCGAGCGGTTCGGACTTAAATGACATCGTGGTTTCTTGTTGGTCCACTGTTGATGAAAGAATAGATTCAGACATGCTCCAGCCACGGAACCTTGTGAAGCCCGAATGCTGGCAAAGAGAGCCTGAGTTCTGAACACCAGCTTCGCAAGAGCCTTTGCACACAAGCCTTCTCAAGCTGAGCGCCTTTCGTGTCTGGGCCGAAAGGTTGGCAATTAGAATGATCACCAATAGTATGCGCAGTTTGGAAAACAAGGCTGGTAAACTTAGGAATTAGCGCTTACTTGCCAAGCACTTCAAGCCGCATGCTGAGTTCAGATTGATGGGCAACTTACAAATCGAGAGAAGTGGCAGGACTCGCCACACATCGGAGAACCGCGTTCTTTTACTTCGCAACAAACAACAATATCCAATGGAGGGCCCTGACAGCTTGTGATACATTGCCCTGTGCGCAATTGTTTACTTAGCATGTTTGCTATATGTGTGTTTTCGTGATATCGGTTTTTGCGCGGTATTCATATTCTGCCATTTCTGGAGGTTCCTGCCAAGGGCTCACCTGTAGTTTAGAAGAAGGGTACCAGCAGCAGCAGCTCCTCAGCGTTGATCCGTCAGTGGGCTGGCAATAAGCTGAGCCTGCCGAGCGGAGATGCCATGCTATGCGTTGGAAGGCAAACCGCACGTGGCCGGTGGGTTGGAGGACACCTCAGGGATGCGTTTTGAAACATGTAGTTGTTGGACTTCTGCTTTTCCATGGCGCATGTTTCCCTATCAGTATTTAGCACATGTGTCTGTCCATTGCAAACCAACGATTCCGCTCACAGAAAAAAGCGGAACGCGTGCCAAGGCATGTAGAGGGTGACTTTCCGGCTTCCATATCCCCTTGACAACACCTTGCCACTAAGAAAGCAATCTATGGAAAGGCAGAAAGAGAATGAAGGCCACCAAAGAAAAAGATACCCCTCGTGCGGTTTCGCTCAGGTGAATCTCATGCAGGCGAAGCTGCAGCTTCAGCGCGCAGGCGTTGATCTGGACATGTTCTTGGAATCTCACCCGTAAGTTGTGGCGTAAGATTTCGTGAAATTTGTCATCTGCGAGGATTCATTTCCGTAGTTCCACACGGATGACAGGTGGTTACAAGTGGGAACTGAACACCTCCAACCTTCAGCTGATAATTTTGCACAAGCGCCGAGCTTGAGCCGCAGACATGATTTTTATTTAAGCAGACGGGGTCCCCTTTCAACTCGCACCTTTGGACATCACCAATTTATGATAGTGGTGAAGAGGTAAATCCATTAAATCCCAGGTTTAGCGGGTGAAGTTTGAGCTACATTGCCCTTTGGTCAGATTGTGGCTCCCTCCTTCAGGTCGTGCTTAGTCATTAGTCCAAAAAGGCCCGCCAAGATTCAAACGGGGGTCTTGGACCCGGGTGAAGCTGATCACCAGAGTTGCACGGATCATTGCCGCGACCACTTGGCAGCAACCGGTAGTGCTTTTTCGTTGGGAGGAACCTGGAAGCAAGCAGGTCTTTTGATGCCGCTTGTTCCAAGGGAAAGCTCCGGCATGACCAACTCCCTTTCGAAAGCTGGCCCATGCATTGCGTGAGACCGCGTGCCATCTCTCCAGGTGAGCTCCAGCATAGCGACACGCACGCCTCCAGTGGCATGTCTGCCTCTCGCCCAATCTCCTGTGCGAGCAAGTGCCAAGCCTGTCGCTTTTCAGTTACCCAAAGCAAAACCACAAACTGCACGTGGCGCGATATGTTTTCGCGATATGTTTACACCATGGAATCACAAACTTGCTGGGGTGGCCCGGTGAAACCAATGCAAGTCAATGTACTCTCGTCAACGGGGGAATTGTGTTCATTGTTGATTTGCGGTTGGCCATTTTTGCATTGAAACTATTCCGAGGCTCGCGTCATTCTCAGAAGCTGCAAAAAACTTAGCCCCTGAGGCCCTGAGCCGGAAGCGTTCCACTAGAGCAATGGCAGCTTTGTGATCCCAGACCCCGGTTTTGGCTACTCCAAAACAGCTTTTCAACGAGACGTGGAATGGATTGCAAGTGGCCTCCTGCATTTGTGGGGTTGTTCCGTTTTCCTGGTCCTCATTTAGAGAGGCCGGCACCCCCTGCCCAGACCTTGGCGTTTCCCCCGTCAATTTCCCTTGGATGCCACTGATGTTCCCCACAGGACGCCAAAAAAGGAGACGGCCAAACTGTCCAGACCGGACAAGGTCAACCTTTGCATATCTCCAACATTCTCCAACAAAGGCCTTCCTGCACGGCGTGGAGCAGCTGGAGCAGCGTATGAAGTCCCTCGAGGCCAAGGTGGACGCAAAGCTGGCGGCACAGTCCGAGGCAGAGGGTGACACCGATGCCCGGCCGAGAGAAGCCATAAACAAAACCGTAGCAAGTTCGTCCGCTCATGTGGGCGGTATAAACATTACGCGTCTTTGAGGGAGGATCCACGGAAAGAAAAGACTATCCTGCGCCCATGCAAAATACAAGGGAAAACGGGAGATGCCACGGCAGAAAACGGTGTGCTTTGGGCTCATGCAGGAGGGCAAGGCTGTGGTAACCCTACGATGCATGCTCTGCTAGGTCGCCCTGATGGGATTACTAGGGTACTGTCCTGCCAGGCCGATCAAGGGTCAACTGTTGGCAGGTGTGCATGTGTGTTTGTACCTGCACATGTGCAATTCTATCAAGCGTCACTGAAAGTTCCAGTCGATGCCTGAAGTTCCAGTTATTCCAGCACTCTGCCAAAGTACGTGACCACTTGTTAGAAGCTGAAGCACTCGGATGTGGCATGCCACATGACAAACCGGGTCGTCCCAAGTTGCAAAAGTTCTGGCATCCCAGGGTCAACATTCAATGCAGCGTCCTTACAGTCCTTTTCTAAGAAGTTGCGTAACGGCTTGACTCATGTTTGCTTGCAGCTCAGGAAACAATTGGAGGGGACTCCCAAGACGGATCCGAGAGCAAGGAGAACGGATTTGACACCCAGGACGGGGGCTGTTGTTCGAACGCCGTGGGGGATTGAGGTGACGCGCTGAGCTCTGCCATGCGCATGCTTTTGCCCCACGGCATGGGGCAGTCATTTTCGCCTGCTGCTCTTTGCATGGGTTTCCCCATTGGGATGCAAGTACTGAAATGGGTCGTTTTTTTTTGGAATGAGGAATTGCTGCGAAAGGAGATTGTCAAGAGCACCGGACAACTGTGAGCACATTGTTGAGTCGAGGTTCATTGCCGCAGGCTCTTTTGAAGCCAGGAGAACTTGAAAGACAAGGACCAGAAGGACCAGGAGGGCGGCAACTGAGCAGCTCTCCAAGACCTGGTTTTCCGCGAGTCAGATGTCTATGGGGCTTGGCCGAGGGCACGGAGTCCTTGTGCAAATTAAAGCGAGCTCACCGATTCAAAGGTAAGACGGGCGAATGATTTTGGAGCTCCTAGTGCGCTTGGTATTGCCTGATTTTCTATGCTGCTGGAATGTTATGTTTTGCCCAGATCAACTTTGGAGTAAATGACGGTTTGTTTGCCCATGCCAGGCTTGCCAAACCGTTTTGCACTGAGGTTCTGTGGCTGCTAGGGAACACGTTCAGCTCTTGAGGAGAGAAGATGCAAGCATTTTTGTGCAATGTTACAAAAAC